TTGGAGGTTCGAGGCCGCCCTGCTACTGCCAGGACCTGCCCTTTGAGGGCCCGATCCACTCCGGGGAAGATCCGGCCCGCCACAGCCGTGGCGGATCTGGCCACGGAGGAGGAGCACAAGGAGGCGCGCTTCGGGGTTTATGGTGGGGGGTTCACAGGGTTCTTACAGGAAGTAGCAGCTCCCCGAAGTCTTAAGCCCCAACAAAATCCCGCAAAACGTTTAGGCTTTGGGGTGAGGGTGCTGAGCCTTTCCGTAGTGCGTATCCACAGGGCACCTCAAAGGGGGAAATCCACTGCCCCAAAAGGTGATTTGAGACGGAGAAGCACTGCTTTGGGAACCACGGCACAGCTCAACTTGCGCATGTTCCTCCAACGCCGCTGCGACTTTATCCAGGAGTTGCAAGGTGAATTCAACCACTACAGTCGTGGGGGCGAGATGTCCTTCCCGAGATTTATGACTATGCCGCAGGTGATGAATATCACCTCACAGCCGCGAATCCGAACTATGTTGTTACTCGACCCTCAGATATGTACGGCCACAAATGCGGCAAAAGGTTTCGGGTTTCCAAAGACCCTGGAAAGTAGAATCCTAAACTTAGAAGGACTGCGGACCCTAAACTTAGAAGGACTACGGACCCATATAATTCAGGCTTTCGGGTCTGAGGTTTAGAAAGTTGAAAGGTAGGGCGATCGCAGGTTCAGGTTGTGGGTTTGTGGGCTAATATAGAGGCTTAAATGATTGCCTATACTATTTTTTATGGGGGTCCTTGTTATAAGTATAGTATACTGGGCCCCAAAACCCTATTCTAATTATTAAGGCCCCTGCATTACCTAGCTTTTTTCGCAGGGCAAGAAAGAAACGTGGGAGGTCTACATTGGAGTCTACATCCCATTCAAAGGTAACTAGGTACGTCTCAGCAAGTTCGAAGACATCCAGCTTTAGAAGCTCGGAATAAGCCCTGAACCCCAAACCCTAAACCCTAAACCCTAAGCCCCAAACCCTAGACCCTAAACCCAAAACCCTAAACCCCAAACCACAAACCCTAAACTTGATTGGGCGTTTCGATTTCTGGGCTTGTACGGCTCCAAGCCCACCAACTCCGTCCTCGGAGCTTCAGGACCTTTCAGATCCTACCTCTACTTGGAGGTTCATGAGTAGTTATAAGTGGGGTTATAAGTAGGGTAACTATAGTTACAACCCATATTAGGGGACTTATACCCCCACTTACAACTACCCATGAACCTCCAAGTACATTCTG